AGAGAGAGAGAGAGAGAGAGAGAGAGAGAGAGAGAGAGAGAGAGAGAGAGAGAGAGAGAGAGAGAGAGAGAGAGAGAGAAAGAAGCGCAAGATGGAAATAGACTGGAACGAGAGCGAGGGTGAACAAGAGGTGTGCATGAGAGGGCGAGCAATGCCTTCACATATATGAGAGAGAGAGAGAGAGAGAGAGAGAGAGAGAGAGAGAGAGAGGTGAGCCACCAGCTGGGCCCCCATCCTGTGCTTGCTGCCCTGTCCTGCCTCTTTTGTAGATTTAATCGGGCTTCGCCTGCCTCAGTTTGCCTCTTTGGATGGTGGATATCTCTCGATCTGGATGACCCAGATTCGCTGTCGGCCTCAGAGTGTCTCCACCCAGCAGGCCCTGGAGCAGGAGACGTGCCTTTTCACCTCTGAATCTATTCCCCACCCCCCTCCCTTCTTCCCATACCTGCATGTATTTTTGTCAAAAATATCGGTCATTTCTGTGGTCTACCTGTCACATCCGGAATGTCACAACTCGTCACGTAGGCGGGGGGTTAGGGGGGTCTTATTTTGAAGCCATTGGCTGCAGAGGGCCCTCCTCGATGAATTTTCTCTTTTTTATCCGAGGTTTCCACACTTCCGTGCATGTTTTCATTGCTCATAATGATTTCTGCACATTAGTGGTGGTTTTCTTTTGTTTTAACTTTTTAACCACCCGGCAGATTCTCTGTTGTTTCCACACTTCCGTGCATGTTTTCATTGCTCATAATGATTTCTGCACATTAGTGGTGGTTTTCTTTTGTTTTAACTTTTTAACCACTCGGCAGATTCTCTGTTTCTAGACCCCGACACTTTGGCATTCTGTGTAAGGGTCAAATGTACGGTGAATAAGAAATTGAAAACTAATCTTGTGTTGGGCCGACAACCGGCCAGTTGGACCGACCCAGATGCGACGGGGCTTGATGGACCCAGGTGCTCCTACCGGAATTCTGGTTGGGCTCAAAACCCGTCCAATTCTGGTTGGGCTCAAAACCCGTCCAATTCTGGTTGGGCTCAAAACCCGTCCACCAGTACCTCCGAGCCTGTTTTTGCCGACCGTGATTTTCACTGCGCTCCGAGTTTTGGCGAGCCTGGGTCCCACTCCATTTCTTTATGGTACTCTCACGGGAAGAACAAAAAAAAAAAAAAGAAAGAAAAGTTGCGGCCGTGAAAACTCACAAAACAAGAAAAAGAAACAAAGCTCTGGACGTGATTGCAGCTCTATACATTCCCGGAAGTGTTAGTGTGAGTGTGCCCTCAGTGAGGGCATCTCAGCCCCGTGGCCAGGTTGTCAGATTCCAGAAACTCAAAAAAAAAAAAAAAAAGACAGGACCAGGGATTTGGCCGTGAAAATGGCAAGATACATTCCCGTAAGTGCCAGTGTGATCAGGG